AAAGGAATTCGACGATTCCGATACACACAAGGTGCTCGGTCTGTGTTGGTCACCAGAGTCCGACGTGTTTAGCCTTAAGGTAAATCCGCCCGTAGAGAAATGCACAAAGCGCACAATACTGTCATGCGTTGCTAGATTATGGGATGTCATGGGTTTCGTAGCTCCAGTAATATTATACGCTAAGCTTTTGACTAAACAACTTTGGTTATTTGAATGCGATTGGGATGACTCGCCGCCTGACAGCATTGTTCGATTATGGCAGCGCATTAGAGAGGAACTTCCTTTACTAAGAGAAATTAAAATACCGCGTCATATAAACGTAGATAGAAATAGCGTCATAACGGTCGTTGGGTTTGCAGACGCCAGCGAGAAGGCTTACGGGGGCGTTGTATATTTCCACGTTCAGAATAATGGTAGAAATTCGATTAGCCTCATTAGTTCTAAGTCGAGAGTCTCCCCCCGCAAGGTTGTCTCTCTGGCGCGCTTAGAGCTTTGCGCAATATTAGTACTCACCAAGCTTATTACCGCAGTTATCAGCGCATGTAGGGATAGAGTTCACATAGAAAGGATATTTGCCTTTTCCGACTCCACCGTCGCCTTATGCTGGGTTCATTCTTCAATCCACCGTTGGGATACGTTTGTCGCGAACCGAGTGGCCAAGATCCAAGACGAGTTGGAAACGCGGAACTTTTATCACGTGTCCGGTACGGAAAACCCTGCCGATTGTCTATCCCGGGGACTCACCCCGATGCAAATAATGGACCACCCGCTTTGGTTCCATGGACCTTCTTGGGTTCACTTGGATACCTCACAATGGCCGATAACCGATTTCGAACCTTCGTCAGTGTCACAACCGCCGGAAGAGAAGAGACATGGTCTAGTGGCGAACGTTTCGAGCGAGGTTTCTCCAATTATTGCTTTTGCGAACCGCTTGTCCTCTTGGTCGAAATTATTGCGTAGCGTAATTTACGTTTGTCGATTCGCGAAGCTTTTACCGCGACGTTCGTATGTCTTAGCGTCCGATTACAACTATGCCGAGTCGCTAGTATTACGTGAACTTCAACGTGCGCACTTCTCTGAGGAAATTACAAGATTACAATCGAATAGAGCTTGTAGTCGCGCCTTTCAACGCCTTAAGCCATTTTTACAGGATGGGATTGTAAGGGTAGGTGGACGCTTGACCAACTCGCAATTGAGTTTCGACCAACGGCACCCTATAGTTTTACCGCGTAAAGACCATATCATGAACTTATTAGTCGATTACCATCATAAATTGAACTCGCACGTTGGCCCCGACTTGTTGATGTCGATTTTGCGGTCAGAATTATTGGATTCTTTCTGCACGTAGTTTAATACGCAATCGGGTGCACAGATGTATAGCTTGCTTTCGGGCACGCCCCAAGCCGTCATTTCCGGAAATGGCGGTACTTAGATCTTGTAGAGTAATACAATCGGTAAAGCCCTTCACGCACACCGGGTCGGATTTCGCTGGTCCGTTTAAGGTCACGCTCACTCGCGGGCGTGGTATAAGATCCACAAAGGCTTACGTCTGCATTTTCGTATGTCTAACTACTCGAGCGGTGCATATAGAACTCGTTGGTGATCTAAGCACAGCAGGCTTTATGGGTGCATTTAAAAGATTTCTATCCCGTAGAGGCCCTGTAAGTAAATTATATTCGGATAACGGTACGAACTACGTCGGTGCAAAACGTATTCTATCGGAACTACATGAGCTCTTAGCTAGCAAGTATTATAATTCGGAGTTCGCTCACATTCTAGCCGAGAACCGCATTGAGTGGTCTCTGAACGTCCCAGCCGCGAGTCATTTTGGGGGCAATTGGGAGACTAATATTAAGAGTTTAAAGAGTCACTTATACCGAGTAATAGGAGATCAAATTTTGTCCTTCGAAGAGCTAAGTACGGTGCTCGCTCAAATTGAATGCGTAATGAATAGCCGCCCACTTTGTCGGACGTTGTCTAGTGACCCCTCGGAACCGCTGGCTCTAACTCCAGCACATTTTTTGAATTTAACGCCTTTAAAGTATTTGCCCGCCGCAGATATGGATGAGAACAGACTTAGCATTTCCGCACGCCGGTTATTAGACCGGTTAGTGCAATCGTTTTGGAAACGATGGAGGATGGAATACTTGCATACTTTGCAGTCCCGGCAAAAATGGAACACAGCGACTGAGCCTTTAGCTGTAGGGACTGTAGTTGTGCTCACTAAGGAGAATACGCCACCTCTCCATTGGCCGTTAGGAATTGTCGAAGAGGTCTTTCACGGTTCCGACGGAGTAATTAGGATAGCTCGCGTTAAGACCACGGTTGGGTCTTACCTGCGTCCTGTTGTCCATTTGTGCCCCTTGCCTCTTCCATAATTTAAATTAGCTTTCTAGATTAAAATTGTAGTTGAATTTAGGTAATCTTAGCGTTAGTTAGTTATTTGTTAGTTGATCTTAGCTCTAGTTGTTTTAGTTATTTTTGAAGGAGATCCTTCAAGGGCGGGGGAGATGGTTGCGCGGAAAACCATTCGTATTTATTTTATTTGACGGTAGGCTGCCAAATCGGTTATCCCTTTCCAAAACGATATCATTCGTACCCTCCTATCGACACATCGGGGTGGTGGGGTGGGAGGGGAAAGATGATTCTAGAACATCACGTAATCATCGGAACCGAGGATATATGACACGCGCGACCGACGCGTGGCCTCTTCCCGCCGCGCTCGTCGTTGAAACCACACCGATAGTAGAAACCGCTTTAGCCTGGAAGCAATCGAGCTCCAGGGAACCCGCCTCACCTCGTGTGAGATATAGTCGCGCACCGCCTCTCTCCGGAGTGTTCCAGAAGTCGCAGTTATAGTGCTCGACCGCATAGAAGAAACATCCCGGTGAGTCAATATCCAATAGTATTTTTCTGCTTGATATAGTTGTTTTAACCCGCTCCAATTTTGTGTTTTCCCAATCAAGCAGGATTCCTTTCATCGATTTGGCAAATAATAGTTCGTTTTTTTTTGGGAAGAGCGAGTGCATTGTACCGCATATATAAGTGTAGAAGCATTAGTAGATACAGTCCACTTAGATTAATATCTCGCGCAATAGGTTTAAGGTTCGACCGGGGAACTAGACTTCGGCAGCCTTAAACACGTGGCTCCACCAATATTGATGCCTGTAATCGTAATTAATATGGAAAATTTTGTTACACGTTTTTCTGAGAATAAAGATTTTATTATTTATTATTATTATAATTAAGTGGAATAAGGAACAGGCAATAATATCCGCACAGAAACATATAACAGTGATATTGCACCATATTAAAACACATGTAAGTAAGTACTTGTTTAGCTTATACTCGTATTACGTAATAATATATGCTCGTTTGTCTACTATTTATGCACACTTCTATTTACGGATCTTCTTCACCAAGGCATAGAATAAATAATGCCATCAGAAACATAACTTGTAAAAAAAACAAGTCTCGCAACTCAGTTCTTCTACCGTAAAAAGTTGTGAGATCCATGTAATACCAAGTCGGTTAATTTATTCAGTCCCTACTAAAGGATCCTTTTTTTTTAAGTTATTACGTAATTAGCTAACCTAACAACATTTTATAGTGACCATATCAATGTTAAAAATCTTTTATGTTTTAATTATATAGATTGACTTGAAAGGGTTCTTAAGTTGACGGGCATAGATAAGTCTATGCCCTCAGAGTTAGCAACCCTTCCCCTTTCAACATGGAGGACCGCGCACTTATCCGTCCCCAGCTCCATTCCAATAGAATTGCTAAATTCACAAGTGATGTTTAGCAATTCCACAAGATGGGAGCGACTGGAGGCAAATAACTTGAGCTCATCCATATAAAAGGTGGGTCACTTTTGTACCTCCCTTTTGTACGGCCCTCCAGTAAAGTACTAAGAGAGTTCAAAGAGATCCAGAACCAGATTGGACTCAGAGAGTCGCCCTGGAATATACCCCTTCTTATCCGTATGCGGCTTTCCGCAGCCGACATCCGCTCGCCTAGATGACAGAGCATCGTACTCCACTGCCCAAAACACTGCCCGAGAAAGTCTCTGACTGTACAGGCAATCTTGTACAGCTCGAGCTCGACCCGTTTTAGCCATGTATGCAGCACCGAGTCGAAAGCCTTTCTGTAGTCTATCCAAGCGGCGGAGAAGTTCCAAAGGTTGCGTTTCACCACTTTGCCAATGACCACGTCAATGAAGAATGGTTCTTTGTTTCCACGACCACCGCCCCGATATCCATTTTGAGCGCGTGACATCACCTGGTTTAGCTCCAGGTGACGAGTGATTCTCGCGCTCAAAATGGATGTCAGTGTCTTATATATGGTGGGTAGATACGTGATGGGGCGGTATGTGCTCGGGTCTGTGGTATCCTATCTTTAGGAACCAAGTGAGTGATTCCAGTAGTGAAGAGTCTCGGGAGCGACTTCTGGTCGAGAGCCTCTTGAAACTGTCGGGTGAGCACAGCGTGACACACTATGAACCTCTTTCGCCAGTAATGATGCAGCCCGTTGAGCCCCAGACTTTTCCAGTTCGGAGCCCTACGGACCGCCCAAGCCACGTCTTCCGGCGTTATGCTGATGGGGTCCATAGGCGTAACACTCGCACCCTGGCTCGCCACTACTTCCATCCAAGGGCCCTCGCTGTGCTTTACGTTCTCTGACCACAGGCCACGCCAGAATGCAATAATGTCAGCCTGCTCCGGTCCTGGACCCGATCCACATACCTCTGGTCGCTGCAATGATTTATAGAGCCTTTTTTCTGATCACTCTGGAAGAGACGATCCTGGTTGAACCGCCTTGACCTTTCGGTAAATCGTCGAATCCGCCTCCCCCAACAGCAATTTTTTGCTTCAGGTCATCTATGCGCTCCGTTAGTTTCTGCGTAATATCCGGCTAGGACAAACAGATATTTGTCCCAGCAAACGCCATTCTAACGGTGCGCACAATCCTCGGTCTATTATTACTTGACCTGAAGCTTGTCAGTCTGCCAATAAGGGCCCTTGCCTTTGCGATACGGTCCTCGATTCTTTTTCTCCAGGCTGGGATGACGCTAGTTTGTCTAGTAGCGCATCCAGCCATGGGAAGTTTGGCGCCAATAATACGGCAAACTGCCATTGCGGCGCCAAAAAAATAATTGAGTCCGCCTTGCAAAGGTCCCGGCTGGCTTCCAAATAGGTCACCAGCATTGGATTAAGAGCCTTCATGACAGCCTGATTTCGCTTGCTTGGGGGTATGCGGGGAAGTCGCGGTCGATTTTCGAGAGGCATGCTGCGCGTTTCCAAAATCGCCTCTTCCAATATGCTCCTAATTTGCTCTAGTTGAAGGGAGACTATTTCATTCTCGTCCGAATCAACCACAACTGGAAAAGTCATGGTGGCTTCCACGTGTGGATGCTGGTCTGTCATCCGCATCCCCAGCCATAGCCGATTCATTCGATGACGGACCAGCCTCACGTAGTCGTTCGAGTTCGGCATCATCAAATATTTTCGAGCGCATGATGTACCGAACTCGGTTTGCCAGGTTTTGTTCCGTGATTGGAATAGACGGCTCCAACTCAGTAAAAAAGCAATGCATCCGAGCCCTATACGCTACCCCCACAGTGTCTTCGCCTTTCGCCCTATAGTACGCCCGCAATGCGTTTCCGTTCATAGCTTTTGTACAACGCATGCGACGTGCTCTACCAGCGATGGGTGCCGCTTGCTGAGTCCGAGAAGACCCAGCAGACACCACCACCCAGGCAGGCCTTCTGGTGGGGATGATGGATGCGGGGGTTTGCTAGGTGATCGTGCAGCTCCCCGCACTCGGCTACCGGCCCGAATGCTGCCGCGTCCAGCGCCAGCTCTAGACGCGCCCCGGCGACCCCCAGGCAGCAGCCCTTTGCGCGTTCCTCTCTGTGCTATCATCCATTGTATGGGCGTCAAATAACGGGAGACGCCCAAGCCCAGCAGCGTTTCGTGGTTGGGTCAAATGCACAAACGGACCTTTGCACCCACAATTTTGCCTAGGCACGGCGCTCACACCTCTTGGCAGGGCGCTGACTGACTACGCCGACGTAGCAGTTTTGTCACATAACCGTTACGTCAGCGGGCGATGGGGTCGTCACTTCCCTACGCCTTTATTATTATTATACTATTTCACCATTTTTTAATGTTTCTTTTTGTCTGTTTTCTCTGTTTTTGTTTGGTTTGTTCTGTTTTGTGAAATTACTTCGCAGAAACTACTTACCGATGGCAGCGCGAATATAAATTCTACAAATTTTCAGGGATAGTCGGGCTATGCATTAGCACGTAGCGATCGTTATCCTGTTCTCTAACCTCCATGGATATTATAATCATTTGAAACTAACCGACTAACTTTAACCGATCATGCGGGGAGATCTGTTCATGATTTTGCCTTGGCATATGGTCTGACACAACTGGTTACTTCGCCTATGCGGATCCCAGATGTGGAGGATCATGCACTTTCCCTGTTGGACCTTCTGCTGACCTCTCACCCGGATGGATATCAGATTTCCGTCGACGCCCCTTTATGCTCCTCGGACCATTGTCTTGTCTAGAGTGTGGTGCCACCCACGCTGAAATCGCAGTTGTATTCTGCAGGCTGCTGCCGTGTTTGGCACTATAGGTCAGCCGATTGGGATAGGATGCGGTCTTTCTTTGCATCCTACCCTTGGGGACGGGTTTGCTTCTCACCGGATGATCCCAACGTTGTTGCGGATTCTGTCGCTGATGTAGTACTTCAGGGTATGGAACTTTTTATTCCTTCCTCTGTAGTGCCCATCGGAGGCCAAATCTCAGCCATGGTTTGGTCGCTCCTGTAAAATATCATCATGCTATAAGCAGGAGTGCTACCAAGCCTGGGCTGACGCGTCAACGTCCCAGGATGTAAACACCAGCGCCAAAAAATGAATAATTCCGCTTCCAGGTCCTTCAAAAGAGTCATTGCCAAGGCAAGGCAAATTCAGAGCACATATGCAAAATTGGCGAGAAACTGGTTCGCCTTCGTCCCTAGGTCGACGCACGCATTTTTTTGTCTCCTCAATTATTCAATTTCCACTTCCCCTTATCTCTGATCAGATAGTTCGATTCAATGGAGCCAGTTTCTTCTCGCAATGAGATTGCGCCCGTGGTTTCCACTTGATTCCAGTAGTTGCAGAATTAGTAGAGACCATTGTTTTCATAACACTGGAGGGACAATATGAGCATAGTATAAATAAAGGGGCCAAATAGGTTATTTCCGGCCCAATCCGCGATATAATTGCCTACTGTCTCAGGGTTGTCACTGTCACCAAATCATTAGTTTAAAGCCCGGCCCTTTCCAAAGATAATAAATACATCTTTGTATAACTAATTCAGTGATCATTAGTCGATAAAGTTCAACAATGGTTTTCCTAACAAATACAGAAATGTATTAAGATTCAGAGCAGTATTATTTATAAAAAAAAGGATAAAATAAACCGGCGGGACGGTGTGGGCGCGACTGTCCGCGCTTCGTCGGATTCGGTTGTCGCCCAAACTGCTAACAAATATTTATAGACTAAGAGCTCGTGTTTAAATTATTTACTTAGTATATACTAGTTACTTTTTTATTTTTAATAGGCATAATATAGTATTTGTACACATAAAGGACCATATTAAATTATTATTTTTAATTAATACAAGCATATATATAAAAAATATTGAATCACACATTTATTACAAAATTACAAATTAGCTACAGAAAAATACTTTCTTCGGTTTCGACTATTACGAAACGCCTTGTTATTAAACTTTTATGTGTAATATATCCGCATCCTTATAAATAACTTTTGCAAATATAATTTCGGAAAGCATGGGCAGGGCGATGAAAAATGTAAATCTTTTATTTGTTCATAAACAGACATACCAATTTTGCAGTTTATGTGATCATTTTTGAATACTTTTTGGGATATCTGTAAAGTCGTCGGGTGGAACCACTAACAAAATTTGGTCTCTAGAATAATTTTTTTATTGAAGGTACCTAGATTCTGCACTTAAATTGCAAACTTGCTGGTAAGCGTTTAAAAACGATTTAAGTGGTTCGCAATCCTCGTGACGCTCCATGCATTTTTTTCAACAAGGCTCCGCATACATAAAAAAAGCACTTTTTTCGGTAATATCAAATTCTATATAGTCTGAACAACTAATATCACGTAAAACACTATTTGACTGCAATATCTCTGGTTGGTTAATATTGATAACGGGTGGAACGTTATTGATTTCAGTAGCGTCATTATCCGTATTTTTGGAATCACTTAAGTGAACGAGGGATTCCGTCAAATCTTCCGACAATTGCCTTCTTTTGGAGCCCGGGTAATATTGACAAAGAAAATTTTACAATATGCAGATATAAATTGTCTGCTGGTTGGTTCTAGAGGATTTCCATTTTTCGATCAAATTTTACCAAAAAAAATCTCAATCACGTCCTGATTAAGACGTCTTGTTAGAATGTATTGATATCCTTCTTGTTTAAAATCTTCGTACAGTTGCAAAATTGACTGGATTGTGATCTGAAACCCTTGAATAAATTTCACGTTTTGAGTAACGTCGTTTCCAGTTCGGGGATCTCGTAATTTTAATGCTCGGAAAAAAAAACAACATTTTATTGAAAAAATCAATCTGTTCTTTACGCCCACAAAACGCTCTTTTGTACTTATAGCTGTCACGGAGACTAGATGAATTCAATGCGTCAAATAAATCGTTCATCAACATAATTAATTCGACTGTGTGCCTTGCTGATTCATCTACCATATTAAAATCTATGTATGTTGACAAACCAGCTGCTACAGATCTGCTTAAAAGTTGCGTCGCGTAACGAACTTTCATTTTTTCAAAGTTCGTAGGGTACATGTGGCTGTTAGTCAATTTATGAGCTTGTCTAAACCTTTTCTTCTTATCATGCTCATAGAATTTTTTTATGTGACAAAATTTTCCAACAGCGCCATTTTGGAAAAGAAAATTATACGCCATCAAGTTGGTACGAACTAACTTTATCAAATATGGTGCGTCAAAAATATAATAAATTTTATGACCATTAACAGTAAAATAAGTTTTGTTCACGCAAATTCTTCTTACTTTAGCAGCTTTTGGCAAATCTGGTCCCATATCTAAAACGCACACTCTGATTTTTAATCCGATCTCAAAGAGTTTAATTATAAGTTTATCAATCCATTTAGAGATATTAGCATCGTTTGAACATTCCGATAATAAGGCGTAGCCAATTGGCTGGCTCCATTTCACAAAAATACCTCTTATTATTACCACTAAGGCATATTTTGCTGGTGTCGGCGATTGAACGCCATCTACTTCGTGGAAGCCTATTATTTTGTCGTTTTTTATATCATAAAAGAGGTTCGTTTTTAAACTCATAGCGTACATCACTAAAGTACAATGTTTTTCTCTCTCCGACATATTGTTTACTTTTAATTTAGTGCTGTCATTAATTCTTCGTTTATTTGAGTAGTCATCGGAATGTATTTGTGTATTTAACGTACTTCTACATGGCAGACAAAGAGTTTTTTCTAATAAATGGTAAGCTTGTGGGCTGACGTAGTACAAGTTTAAGCAAAACATTTTGTAAGCGATACTGTATCTGTTTCCTTTGTTAGCACATTTTAAATATTAGGCTTAGGCTTTAACAAGTTCGGCTAAGTCCTTAGATAAAAAACGATCACATAATTTATTAAACATAATATCTTGTGAAGAATTTGCCAATTCATTTGCTCGTAAACGCTTTTTACAGTCTAATAACGCAGATTTTAGTTTCCTCTTGCGTGGAGTACTTGCAGAAAGACCAGCAGTAGTTTGTGTTAGGTTATCCGTGGTGGTAAAATCCGTTTGAATGAAGTGGCAATAGTTAAATCTAAATTTGGTCCTGAAGCACTAGTTGTTTCTGTTTGACTTGACATTATAGGAAGTTGTTATTTCCACTTGTGTATGTTTGTCAACTTTTTTCAGATTAGGCAAATTTAAACTCGGTAGACAATTTTTTTTAGTAATTTTCTAACGCTGTTTTTCATTATGTCTTCTGGGTGGAAATGGGCTTCACAAACAACATGGTATGGTTGAGATTTATTTTTCAAATCCTCGCGGTCAATTAAACGCAGCCACTGAAGGCGTCTGAAATGGAAAGCAAATTTAATATACATTAGGCATCTATAATAAAAAAATTGAATAAAGCGCCTAAAATATTGTAAAAAAAACATCGTACAATAACATAAAATTACTAACGCCTGCCTCTTAGACTGTAATCAATTTTTTGTTCTGTTGTTATTATTCGAACTTTGCTCTATTTATCTGATTCACAATTAGTCAATTACTTATTTTTAATTACGATTTTATAACCGTAAGTAGGT